GTGACCCTGACTGTTGCCATTTTGTACAGGCCCAGATGTGATAATTATACCCTCGGGATAATATCTACCTGTCAGGTGACGGTCTACAGAGAGTAGTTTTCAAACACAATACAGATTCAAAAATCTCTGTATGAAGAATATCATATCATTTTAATGGATTTAAGTCAGGAGCATTTCATTTTTGTGGACATTACTTAACATTTGTTTTTGGTGGTAAAATTAATAAATTTCTCCTGAAAGCAAAGAATTCCACAGAAAACGAAAAGCAGGAAAAGAAAGGTTTTCGGTTGGATTTACATGTATACTACTTGAGCAATATAGGACGGTTGCTGTTATTTTGAACGTCTTTAGAAACCATTTACCTGTACACTTTTTGATATCAGTCCATATCTGTTTATTTGGAATCAAAGGTAAAATTTAATAGTAAGTAAAATTTTATTGTTCTCACTTCTCGATGCGGTAAATCTGATTAAATTATCAATATAAATGATAAACCCTAAATTTTCAATAAATTACTAGACATTTCTTAAATTTCTAATTTACTTTTGATTTTAATTTCAATTTTTATTTAATTTTGTCATGTTTTAATTTTGGTTAAATTTGTCAATGAATAATTCAGGAAGAAAGACAGGGGGAGAGAACTAATTCTCTAGTACAGTAGATTTAACTACTGTACTAATTTATGTCACTGTGTAGGTTTTTTGACTATGTAGCACATTAGGTTCATTATTCATTGTCTGGTGACCTTGCTCTGTGTCCATGATTATAACCTATCATTGGTAATGATTTGCTCAATAATTATGCACACAATGGCAGAGTCACCAAACCATGAAGCTTGGGCTTGGGGTGTACCAAGTGATTTGGTAGCAGCAAAAACCCTTTGTTCGAGGTGTGAGGCATATACTAACTAAAGTTGGACATTATAAAGGAGTGATAGATGGTAAGTTTACCCAGTTTACAAAGATGTTTCCCGACACGTTTTAACACATTTAATTGTCGAGATGCTTTCTTACAAATATTTGATAAATGAGAATTGAATTTAAGGTATCCAATGTATAATGAAGGGATTTTGAACACTTTTAAATAATTTTAAACGAGTTAAAAACACATTGCTAGATAACGACAAAAGTGAAATGAACCAAATTCACAAGACTGGTAACATGTAAGGAGATAATCATTTTGCACATTAAAATTTTATGAAGAGTTATCTGCCCTTGATGAAAAAAAGAAAATTTTTGATTTCAAAAATTTCTGCGGTAAATAATTCATTTTATTTCATAGTTTCATAAGGAGGGAGTTCATGCATATTTTCACCAAGAGATTTGTTTGAAATTCAAATTACATTTTACAAAATCTTATAAAAACATACGCTGCTCATAGACTTCAAAGTAAAATTCAAGGTGAAATTAATTGGACAATAATCAAAATTTTGTAAATTCCTTTGGTGGAGCATTTTTATTTGATAACATCTTCAAAATGCTACCATGATTAAAAATATCGGACCATTCATTTATTAGGTACAATATATGGTCGTCATACATTGAATACCTTATGTTAAAATTTAAAGTAACACCAAGCAGTTTCACTTCATCCTCACAGGCAAGAGTTGTACCATTCGGGTTTAAAGTAATGTTTTTATCATGCGTCTTTTCCCCCAGTGATATTGCTTGAAATTTTTCTGGGTTTGCCTGCATTTTATTAGCTGAAAACGAATCGATGAGAGTGCCACTTTCCTTTTCAAGAGTAGTAATAACATTTTGTAAGATAGGATCAGATTTGGATAAAGTATTATCATCTACATAGTTGTACAAATCTGAATTTTTTACAAAATAAAAAATATCATTAATGAAAATATTAAAGATAACTGGCCCAAGAATTGATCCTTGAGGTACACCTTTAAAGTTATCCAACAAGGTGCTTATATTTTCACTAATTTTGACACACTGCTTTCTGCAAGATAAATAGTTCTTTATCAGATCTACCGCAGGTGGGGAGAGACCATAAGATTTTAGTTTGAGCCGAACAAGATCATAAGGGAGACAATCAAATGCCTTGGATAAGTCCATTAAAATAGCAGCAACATATTTATTTTCATCAAGAGCTCTCTTCCAATCCTCGGTGATTCTTAATAAGGTCGATTGGCAACCATACCCTGATCTAAATGCCGCTAAATAAGGGTTAAAAATTTCTCAAAATAGTTTGGTATTTGAGTGTTGATTGCATTTTCAAAAAATGTGTGAACCGCTCTCTTGAAGCAACAACGACAAATCAAAATATATTCACTGATACGACTCATCTATCTTATTGTATAATAAATTAAAGCTTCATTTAAAAAAATGCAGGATTTTCGCCAAATTGAAGTATGCAGCGTCCTTCGTTCTCGGTGAAAATTGTACTCCTGAAGTGGTTAAATAATCTTGTCTTGACTTCCTAATCATTTTTTGTGTATAATACTGCAAGTCTTAAAAGATTTCAAGCATGCCCTGGTAATGATTTTCAATTTTGTGTATGATATTTCTGCAATGATATGATTAGTATTTAATTATATTATACTTTCATGTAAATTAGCGGAATCTGATTGGTCGAGAAACATTTGTTGAAAAACACTAGATTACCCGCTGAATAATGAAGCCACGCTCTCCAGCGTAGCAACAGTCAACATTGCTTGACAACGGGTGGTATTCCAAAAAATAGCGACCGCGCAGATTTTATGCGCACACGGTTCACTGTTATATGTATTCAGTATAATATGATAAATATTGCATGTAGTTGAGTGTAACATTAAAAATTTTCACCCCTCGAAAATTTTCAATGTTACACTCAACTACATGCAATATTTATATAAAACATGTTATAAACAACGGGGATTTTAAATAGAATGAAATAGTTTTTTAATTCACCATTTTTACGCTTGAAAAAATTATGCAGTTATTGTTCACAATTAAAACTAACATTAATAAAAAAAATCTGTATATTTCAGCTTATGTAAACTTTAAATTATAGGGCGCCGTTTTAATATTTTTATGGTATTTTCTGATATCACAAAATGAGTTTTGATAGGTTAAATTTGATTTTTTTAAGAGGCGCCATGTCTCTATTTTTTTTCTTAAAGTTTTTATATCAAGAAAAGAATTCTTGGCATCAATAATTCTAATTCTTGATATCAAAATATAATTTTGATATCAAGAAATTGAATTTTTAATATCAAGAATTTCTATTTGTGATATCAGAAACTTTTGTCTGATATCAAAAAATCGATTTTTTGATATCAGAAAATATCAGGAAATCCATTTTTGATATCAGAAATTATTATAGATTTTCTGATATCAAAAAATTGAATTCTTGTTATTAAAATATCATTTTCTAATATCAGAAAATTGTGAGGCACCGTTTTAATATTTTTGAGGTATTTAGTGATATCAAAAAATAAATTCTTGATATCAATAATTCGAATTCTTAATATCAAAAATATTTTTTGATATAAAAAAATAATTCTTGATATAAAAAAAATCTATTTTCTGATATCAAAAATTCGATTTCTTGATATCAAGAAATCAATTTTTTGATATCAAAAATTCTAATTTTTGATATCATAAAATAACTTGTATTTTCTGACATCAAGGAATCGAATTCTCGATATCAATAAATCATTTTTTTTAATATCAGAAATTCCCTTTTTTGATATCAGAAAATGATTTTTTGATATCAAAAAGTTATTAGTATTTTCTGATATCACACAATCGATTTTTTGATATCAGAAAATAAAAACCAAGTATGGTCAGCTGTGATGTAACATCACTTTACACAAATTTGCAATTGGAGAAGCTAATGGCTTCTGATAAAACGGGTTACAGAGAAATTCTCAGTCTAATCCCGGCCTTAAGCACACCTAGATTATTTACTCAGATTTATCCCAGAAAGTAATATATTTGAAATCCATGCAAATAAATATGACCAAAAAAATAATCGATAACACTTATTTAATTCTTTCATTAAAAAAATATTCTTAAAATCTGAATAAGCTTTTAGTACAGAGCAAATCGGCACTTAAGTTCGTGATTTTCTACAGTTAAAGGGAGTATTCTTTATTTTGTGGAGATTCTTCGCCATTTTATTTTATTTTCTGATATCAAAAAATATATTTTGTGATATCAAGAAATCAATTTGAATTTCTGATATCAAAAAATCAATTTGAATTTCAGATATCAAAAATCAATTTGAATTTCTGCTGATATCAAAAAATGATGATTTTCTGAGAAATATATATATATATATATATATATATATATATATATATATATATATATATATATATATATATATATATATATATATATATATATATATATATATATATATATATATATATCAGAAAATTGATTTTTTGATATCAGAAAATGATTTCTTGATATCAGTAATTCGAATTTTTTGACACCAGAAAATGACTTACATTTTTTTGATATCAAGAATTCAAATTTTTGATATCAAAAATTACGTTTTTGATATCATAAAATTATTTTTTGATTTTAGAAATTTAATTTCTTGATATCAAAAAATGATTTTTCTGATATCAGAAATTCGAATTTTTTATATCAAAAAATCTTGTTTTTGGGATGCGCATGCGTGAATGTGAAAGGTGGACTAAAATAGAAGAGAGAAATTTTGGGCTAAATTACCATATTGTGACAAGAGAACGAAGAAAAGAGGTATTCTAATCGCACTTATAGCAATAATTGATCACACTGACTCCTGTTTTGTAAAAAATGTGACTTGAATTACTGTAAACAAAGATAACAAACAATTGTACGTGTTCGATAGGGCTGAGAAAACTCGTTCTACAAGTCAGGGGCGTCTATTTATAGCAAACATTTCTACTAGTAAACAACAATGTCGACCGAAAAGAAACTGTGAGTATATTAGGAGAGGCTAGGGCTGTATTATATGAAAGTGAAGAATCGAAAGAAATTACTTTAGAGAAATTATATGAGCTTGTGAGAAATATGGGAGTCTCCTTGAACGATCGACTCAATAAAATGAGCTCAGTTATCGATACAAGGAACAAGAAAATCGACGAAATGTGTGAAGAAGTAGTGAGGCTTTCACACAGAGTAAATTCCATTGAGAGAGAAATAAGTTCTATAAATCAAACAAACGCAGAGTTTCATGAAAGCTTACAGGGAATAAGTAATGTTTTTGACGGGATAAAAGAGCAAGTGGACAAATCAGAAAATGAGTTTCAGAATATGAAAATAAAGCTAGACGCTATGGAGGCGAAAGTTGTACACTATGCATCTAAGAGAGAGAACGAAATTGAGGAGTTAATCGAAAAAAATGAAGAGCTAACGGATCAAACACTCGATCTCAGATGCAGATCCATGAAATATAACTTGATTTTCTCAGGTATCCACGAGAATGTACCAGAGAACACAGAGGAGACATTACGAGGTTTTTTAGCCGAAGAGCTTGACATTGATTACGACATCGAATTCACAGTTGTACATAGATTTGGGCAGAAAAACAACAAAAGGAATCGACCAATTGTCGCAAAGTTTATTTATCAACGTGACCTCGACTACGTACTCCAATGTGCATATAAATTGAAAGGGAAAACCTTCCAAATAAATCGCCAATTTCCGGACGAGATCGAGCAAGCAAGGAAAAGCCTCTATCCCATTATGAAGGAGCTACGACGCAAGGGTGAAACTGTGAAACTGGTCAGGGACATCTTATACGTGAACGGAAGGCCATATGACCCAGAGGACTCCGGACCAGCTGAGACATTGAAGTATCCACAACGCACCCCTAGCAGATACGGCAGCTCGTCGAACAAACGCAGGAGAATCAACTCCACCCCAGAAAAACACTAGGGACTCTCCGGGGAGTGTGAACATGTACCAAACGTGAGAAACTGTGCGCAGAAAAACAATGAATTAAAAATCCTCTCATTAAACTGTTGCGGAATAAAGAAAAAATTAAACTATCCAGAGTTTCAAGAGCTAGTGGGGCAATATGATATAGTGTGTTTCCAAGAAACAAAAACAGATGACTTAGATATAATTGAAATCGATGGTTTTGAAATAAAGATGAAAAATAGAATTAAATATGGTAGAGTGAACTCTGGAGGTATAATATTAGCATATAGAAATGAATTAAAAAACTTTATTAATATCCATGAAACAGAATGTAAAGCTGTACTGTGGTTAGAAATCTCAAAAGAAATATACGCTTTTTGAAAAAAAAATCTACTAATCGGAAATATATATATACCTCCAGAAAATTCAAAATACGGTAATAAGGATTTATTTAGTGCAATTGAACTAGAGATGCAAGAATTAGCACATAGTGACAAATATGTTATGTTAGCAGGTGACTTCAATGCTCGAACCGGAACAGATATAGAAATTTTCAACATTGATAATAAAAAAATGAACAATTTTGTGAAATCTTTGAAACCATGGAAGATGAAAATTTCCTTATAGACGATGTGTTAGAAAGAAACAACGAAGACAAAATTCAAAACTCATATGGTAAACTTTTATTGGAAATGTGCAAATTAAATAAGTTGTTAATTGTAAACGGACGTATTGGCGATAACTCATTAGGAGAGGTAACATGTAAAGGTTCGAGCACTGTAGACTATTTTCTTTGTGATTATTTTATTCATAAGTATATCATGAATATGCAAGTACTTGAACAAAACAAAAATTATTTTCTGATGTTCATAAACCTATTGCTTTGTATTTAAAACTACAAAAAAATGATTTTAGTATGAATTGTTCAAATATAACGGAATGTGTAGAAAAAATCAAACCATGGGATCCTTCTAGGGAACATGTATATGTACAGTCTATTGTTACTGATCAACTAAATGAAGTTATAGCATTGTTAGATTTAAACAAGTTACAAAACGCTAAGGACGGTGTAATTAATGAAATTGTGGAAAAATTAAATAAGATATACATAGATGCAGCGAAAATTTCTATAGGTGTCAATACCGGTAAAAGAAAGAAACAAATAAATAAAAATACAAAGAACTCTAAACCTTGGTTTACAAAAACTTGCGAAGAAGCACGAAAAAAATACCGGAATAGCAAAGTTTATTATTTTAGAAAACGTACAGAAAATGCACATAAAAAATATAAAGAAAATGAAAAAAAATACAAAAAAGTCATAGATAAAGAACAGATTAAATATAGAAACAATTTTAGTAAACATTTAAAAGAAATAAAAAATAAGAACCCCAAAGAGTATTGGAAAATAATTAATAATTATAAAAAAAGAAATAAACATGAAGAAAACACACCAATAGATATAGATACACTATATAGATATTTTAAAGATTTAAATAAAGCTCCGGAAATAGATGAAGAAATTAACCAAATAGTTGATAATGATATCTCTAGCTTACAGTGCATAGATCTTAACCAAGAACTTAACAAATATATAAATCAGAATGAAATTAAAAAAGCTATAGAATATACAAAGACGAATTAAAATTTGAAAACTATTTTAATATTTTATCAAAAAAGGACTTAATAACATTTTGTAGATTTCGAACGTGTAATCATCATTTACCAATTGAAAGTGGACGCTGGCTTAATATACCAAGACAAGATAGAATTTGTTCCCATTGTAATCTAAAAGAACTCGGAGATGAGTTTCATTACATTTTAAAGTGCAACTCGCTACAAACAGAAAGAAAACTTTGCTTAACAGAAAAACACATAAAATTCCAGAATATAATTAGTTTTAAAAACATTATGAACAACAATAAACACTGCTTTCTAAGAAAATTGTGCTCCTTTGTAAAGAAAATAAATAAAATATGCTCCCCGGCCTAAATTTCCATACTTCACATTTATAGTAACCTACAATTTTTTTGTTTTTGTTAAGTTTCTTACTCACGCATGCCTTTCTAGACCTATTGTTGTATATAAAATCACCTATATGTTTTTTGTAGTCTCTGTACGCTATTGTAAAATGGTGATGAGATTCAAATAAATGATTGATTGATTGTTTATTTTCTGATATCAAATAATATATTTTCTGGTATCAAAAAATCGAATTTCTGATTTAAAAAAATTAAAATATTAAAACGGCCCATAAATTTTTTATATCACAAAATGCTTTTTGATATAAGAAAATATTTCCATTTCTAATTTTTTTCTCTGTGATAACTGTTTGAAAGTTGGGAGAGTTTATTTTTTGATAATTCTGCCGGAATGTAAATTAGGCAGGTCGATAGGTCAGCAGCTAAGGAGGCCTATTACGCATGCAAGTCTCGTGCGCATCTGTCTCTGTGTCTGACGCTAAGGAGGCCAAATATGCATGTAAATCTCGTGCGGCTGCCTTTGTGTTTGTTGTCAGTGTGCAGGACTACTGAAATTGGCATAGGAGTCCTCGTGTATTTTAAATCTATTAGTCTACAATTTTATTTCACAATGAAATGGAAATATAAGGAATCACTGTCTAGTTTGGAGAGTATGCCAGGGACATCAACAATAGTGGGAAACATGGGATAATTTTAGCATAACGGGCTTTGCCCGTTATGCAAATTATCCCATGTTTCCAACTATTGTTGATGCCCTGGCATACTCTCCAAACTAGACAGTGATTCCTTAAATACACGTCATTTTCACACAAGAAACATATTGACGCAAGCGTCAAAAATCGGCCGCAAACAAATTACTAGTAATTATTCCTTTGATAAAGTAATTCAAAACTGAAATTTGCGTGATCTGTTTTTAAAATTTCTTATATTTATCTGTTAAAATATCCTCGTAACATGAAATACTTGCATAAGACATTGTCGATTTTCTTCATGCAAAATACATGTACAAAATTATATGTGTAAGCAAACTTCCCATAGACCTCTGCGTCCGTACAAACGAATTTGATGTTTAAGTGATTATTACATAAAAGTACAAAACTAAAGTTTAAACTTAGCTATAGTTTTACTTTAATTTGAACGGAACAAATATGAAATATGTGGGACTCTCTTAGAGGATTTTAACAACCCCCCAAATCCATCTACCGGTAGATCCACCACTACATTTCTTCTTTCAGTCTCTTTGTTTTGGTGTTGAGAAGTGGCGGGAAAATGCTTGGCACAAACGCGCTTTACCCTAGTTTCATGGACAACATTGTCGAATGGTTCTGTGCTTTTAAGAAATCAATATTTCATAAAATTTTTGAAAAATTTCCATAGGAAATGTATAAATATACACGGCATTTTAAAATAAGTACAACAAATCCTGTCTAGGCTGTTTAAAAAGAGAAAGTAAAATTGTTGATATAAAATGTGGTCTTTGTTTTAGACTATGCCTACATAAGACACTTCGTGCTAATTTTCTCCGCACTTCAGTATTGTCAGAGTTTGTCAATCAGGATTGGATGAAATATTTACCCAATTATTTATAAAAATTTTATTTTACGATTATTGTGCTTTTTGTTAAACATTTCGAATGTCTTTGTTCAATATTCTATACTATGAATGTTATTTTATTCAAATTGTTCTAACTCCGCAGAAACGCACGGCGACTTAAAACTTTCATATCAATAGTCTAGGTCACCTACACGTTTGTTGCATCGATGCATAGTCTCACACCAAACGTCTAGGAGCATTCCACTTTAAATATTTTTACTTCAGAACGAGGCTTATCCAGAATTTGATAAAGCCTGTGATTGGTTGAACAAAAATAAACATTTGACAGCAGAGTTTTGGCTGATCTTAGAATCGACTTTCCTTTAAAAAACATCACAGAAAGTATGCCTGGAGAAATTAGCAAATAGGTTGGACATATTTGCAGTGCTAGCTACGGGTTATGGGAAGTCACTGTTATACGTTATTTTACCGAAATTGATGCTTGAAGTTGAAGATAATTTACAGTGTGCCGTAGTAATTTATATAGGTCATTAGTCATCTGGTACACACAGTGCGTATGCAGGTGTAGGAGTAGATATGGCAAGAAATTGGTACTGCGTTTTTAGGTGATACTTTTGTACCCTAGGGTACACCCTTATTAAATGTATGGAGAAAAGGTTACAAAAAGGGTACACTATTTATTCCTACTGAAAACGAAAGTAGATGCTTCCCAGTGGAAGGAAGACTGTAACATCTATATAAGTAAAATCAAAAATAATGTAGCCGATGCTCAGGGTACAGTGGGTACAAAGGGTACACATGGGTACAGCAGGTTACAGCACTATAAGAAATGGATACAAGGGTTTAGAAGGCTGAAATTTTCTAAGTTAAAATTAAAAATAATGGAGCCGATGCTCAGGGTACAGTGGGTACAAAGGGTACACATGGGTACAGCAGGTTACAGCACTATAAGAAATGGATACAAGGGTTTAGAAGGCTGAAATTTTCTAAGTTAAAATTTAAAATAATGGAGCCGATGCTCAGGGTACAGTGGGTACAAAGGGTACACATGGGTACAGCAGGTTACAACACTATAAGAAATGGATACAAGGGTTTAGAAGGCTGAAATTTTCTATGTCAAAATTAAAAGTAATGGAGTCGATGCTCAGGGTACAGTGGGTACAAAGGGTACATATGGGTACAGCAGGTTACAACTCTATAAGAAATGGATACAAGGGTTTAGAAGGCTGAAATTTTCTAAGTTAAAATTGAAAATAATGAAGGGGATGCTCAGGGTACAGTGGGTACAAAGGGTACACATGGGTACAGCAGGTTACAGCACTATAAGAAATGGATACAAGGGTTTAGAAGGCTGAAATTTTCTAAGTTAAAATTAAAAATAATGGAGCCGATGCTCAGGGTACAGTGGGTACAAAGGGTACACATGGGTACAGCAGGTTACAACACTATAAGAAATGGATACAAGGGTTTAGAAGGCTGAAA